ATGAATTTTGAAGATTCAATGGTTGAATATCTATTAGATTTGATCCATAATTATCATTACACAATTGTCATCAATCTTTCCATTAAATTTCGGTCCACTACCACCATTATTTGTTCACTTTATTCACTGAGTTCATAGAATGCCACCAATCTGGGATACACTCGATTTCGTGAATAGAACAAATAAACTTTTTCTGCGCTTGAGAGTAGACTGAATAGTTGAATCGCATCACCAACGGGAGAGCTGGAACGCATTCCATATACTGTTTCATGATGAACAGGTAAAAATTTTCAATTGAATTTTCAAATTTTAAAAATATTTTATTTCATATTTATAAATGTAAATAATTTTAAGAAATATTTTATTTCATATTTATAAATTTATATTGTAGAGTTCATTCATTAGAGGCATAATCCGTTCTAAGCATATGGGAGCATTTAGAGGCGTACTGAACGAAGGCGAGGTGTATGCAATCACAACTATGTCGTTGAATTTAATCATGGGAAGAAAGATATCATAACCAACAAATGGATACTTGTGCTTCATGGAAGAACCCGTGTTATCAAATATGGCGGGATTTTTCCTGAAAATAGTGATATTTTCCCTCAACAATAAGAAGGAGCAGGAGATATTTATGATATTTAGGGTTTAATTATTATGAATTTTATTTTCATTCCATGTCGTTCAATCAAGAATTTTATAAGAAATTTTAGTGTAATTATATTTGTTATAGTTATAAAATGTCGTTTAATATATTTATTTTCATTATTCAATGTCGCAAGAATGTTAAAATTCGACCCTTTTATTTTTTACTTCTAATGTATATTAGTTTAAAATTGGTAGAATGCCATTATATAAAATATAAATTAAAACAAATTTTAACAAATATTAGCAAGTACATTTAACCGTTTATATTCATAAATATTTGTTTGATTATAATATTTATTTGTAATTTGTGTTATATAATAATAATGAATGTTGATATCTATATCTATATCTATATAAAAAAGTTGTTGTTAAATTCCTTTTTAGAAACTTTGACCAAATAAATAAATCAGTTGACTTTCTATGTTTAGACTATTTAAAACGTGGATAAGAACCATAATAAAACCGAAAGATAAGGCTTTTCAAAATTTCAAAATTTTCAAAGATAAGGATAAGAACCATAATAATCGAACTTCAAAACAAATTAATTAAAAAATTGATATATGAGTCAATCCAACAATTGATAGAAATTGTAACAAAAGATCAAATATTTTAGGACCACATTAGAATTGCAATTATGAAAATTCCACACCAATCTTATCATAAAGTTTCCACATTAACAAAACTTCTAAACAAATAAACAAATAATTTATAATACAGTTCATGTACACTTATATTATCATAATTTAAACAAGACGTGTCCATTACCTTGGTTATCATAATTGAAGCAAGTTTAAACGACATAATTAATATAAGAGTCCTTCATATTTGAAATAATATAATAATCTATCTATATATATATTAAAAGCCAACCTATTTACCAAAAACAGTAGCAAGAAAAGTCAACACACATTTAATGCATACTTTATTTAGAAATTTTTTACTATATGCATTAAATGCTTGCATATTTACATTTACTATCCAAATATGATCTTCAAGATTTTTTTCTTTAAATAATTTATATAATGATTTTACTGATATCCATTATAATTAATATTTGTCGAGTAATATTTTTTAACCTTTATTTAATTATATAACACTAATATTTTTTAAAAATATTATTTATTATTTAAAATATAATGATCACATCATTAAATAATTTTATTGATGGTTAGATAATAAAATTATAGTTATTCTTTAAAATTTCGACATGTTATTTATTTGTATATTATTGTCAACTATGTTAGTGCTTTTCTCACTTTTTTTTTTTTTGTTATGTTTCAAAAATGAACTTATTGTAAAATATTTTTCTATTGCATAGTATGTTAAATAAACTATAAAGCCTTAGGATTAAAATTAGAAAAAATCTCTTGATTATGTAAGAGATTTATTTTTTGGCGATTGCTAAATCATTTTAAAAAAAATTATTATGAGAAAATTGAATTCTAAAAAACATGTGTGTGTATTTTGTAAACATTTATACTCAAAGTTTTATTTTGAATTTCATTACATAAAGAAGACTACTTCTATAACTTTTATAAATAATAATAATTACATTATATGACTGTAAATTATATAATAAAATAATAATTAAGTATTATATGGTGAACAATAATTAATAAAATTTTTATTTTTTCCTATATCAATGAATAAATATGTATTCTAAAATCAAATAAATATTAGTATGACGTGTTAGTGGAATTATATATTAATTAACATGTTAATTTTTTAGCTTAAATAAACGCCACTTATTAAAAGATGTGAAATATGGATGATCCAAGCCTATTGTTTTTTTTGTCTAGACGTACAAGTCCTATAGAATAATTGATTTATTATATGTATCACGTGCATCTCACGGGGTATGCACTAATAAATGACCTTAAAATTGTGCACCCCCTATTAGAGGTCACGTACTATATATATCCCGTATATTTTTTTTTATTCATTTATGTAATTATAAGAATGGATAAATGACCTTAAAATTGTGCACTCCGTGCATCGCACGAGTTATGTACTAGTAAGTTAATAATACACATGTGAAATATTAAAATATTTTAAAATACAAACAATTAATAATACATAAAACTTTTGTTCTAAAAATATTTAAAATTGCATATAAAGTTGGAGAATACTACTAAAAGTTGATAGGAAGAAGAGTTTTATCACTAAAGTTTTCAGAAGGATATTTTCCACCATCAATTAGAACACACAGCACATATATATAAAATATAAAACTTTGAATGACCATAATAAGTTGATAACACTTGGCATATAAAATACAAACCAACTATAAACTTAAAAGATGTAACATATATAATATGAATAGGAATATACAACAACAACATACCCCAGTATATTTTCAATTGGTTGAGATTTGAGGGGTCAGTTGTACGCAGACTTTACCCTTGAAATTATACAAAGAGGTTGTTTCCTTATCGACCCAAGGTGCATTGCGTCGTTTGATATATTTTTTTTTGTAGAAACTTCACTAATAAAAGAAACACTAGAATTTAATAAGAATATATATTGAATAATTAAAATATTATTACCACGTCAAAATAAAAATACTTATCGACCTAAAATGCAAATGAGCTAGAATTCGTCGTTTAGTGAGCAACACTATATATGATAGTTTGTGTTGATCAATTGTCTGCCATTCTCTTCCAATTGGTTCTAGTTAAAGATGACTGATTATATCATCATGAGTCATACCCTTTCACTCCATAAACCAATAATCTTCGATGCAAGTTTGCTCAACCTTGAACCCAATATACCATCTCAATTTATATGGCCAGATCATGAAAAGCCATGTCCTGAACCAATGGAACTCGATGTTCCTTTGATTGATTTAGCTGGTTTTTTGGCGGGAGATATTGCTGCCTCGACTCGAGCGGCTGAGTTAGTGGGAGAAGCTTGCAGAAAGCATGGGTTTTTTATGGTAGTCAATCACGGTATAGATTCCAATCTCATATTAGACGCTCATTGGTGTATGGATGATTTCTTTAAACGACCACTCGTCCAGAAACAGAGAGCTCAGCGGAAACTCGGTGAGCATTGTGGTTATGCCAGTAGCTTCACAGGTCGTTTTATGTCTAAGTTGCCTTGGAAGGAAACTCTTTCCTTCGAGTATTTTGCACAAGACGGTTACTCTCGCAACGTTGAAGAATACTTTGAACGAACGCTTGGGCAAAATTTTGGAAAATCAGGGTATGTACTAATTTGAGCTACAATATTCTTAATATAGAATGTCATCCAACTTGTATACATGTGTACATTTGGCAGGAAAGTTTATCAAGAGTATTGTGGTTCCATGAGTAAACTCTCCCTAGGAATCATGGAGCTCTTGGCAATTAGCCTTGGAGTGGAGCGCGATCATTTCAAGGACTTTTTCGAAGGACACGAGTCGATTATGAGACTCAACTACTACCCACCGTGCCACAAGCCGGACCAGACGTTAGGCACCGGACCACACTGCGATCCCACATCGCTAACCATTCTTCACCAAGACAGTGTTGGTGGACTCCAAGTGTTTGTGGACGACGAGTGGAGATCAATCAATCCCATCCCTAATGCTTTTGTTGTCAATATTGGTGATACTTTCATGGTAAAAATAAACAAAAAGTTATTTACCAAGATTCTAATTGACTGAAGTTAATTTTAACTTAAATTTATTTTTCTTGTATAATCAGGCCCTCTCAAATGGGAAGTACAAAAGTTGTCTGCACAGGGCAGTGGTGAACAGCAAGAGTCCCAGGAAGTCCCTTGCCTTCTTTTTGTGTCCGAATAAGGATAAGTTGGTGAGGCCACCGGCTGAACTGGTGGACGAAAATAGCCCGAGAATATATCCCGACTTCGAGTGGCCGGCCCTGCTCGAGTTCACTCAGAAACACTACAGAGCTGATATGAACACACTGGAAAATTTCTCAAAATGGATTCTCAAGCAGCAAGGCAAAACTCATCATCAACTTCTCTGATATCTGTGTTTTGGGCCTTTGTAATAGCAATGTATTAATTAGTTTTTATATATTCCGAGCTGTGTTTTGGCCTTTGTTAAATCAAAATCTTTTTGGCAGTAGCTTTTGATGCCCTGCACTCTTGATTTAGCTTTAACAATCTAACATTGAGCATCAAAGTATCAAACATTTAGACAAGAAATTGGAGCACTTTACTTGCTCGGTATACTTAGTTATACTTGATTACTTAATTAGACTATGTTTGGTTACCAAATAAGCTAGTTTCCAGCTTATTTGGTTAGCTTATAAATTCTTTGTATTCAAATAAACTTTACTGGTCGGACGAGTTTTGTTAAAAAAAGCCAAACTTATCTCATAAACTTCTTTAGGTAGTTTTTCAAATAAGCTTATTGAAATTTTTATTTCAGCTAGCATATCAGCTAATTTCATCACTTTTATCAAATACGACTTTTCAATTATAAGTCATATGATATAAGCTATAGACTATCGTTTATAGCTTATTTGGTTAGCTTATAAGCTCAATTTATTCAAGTTTCGTTTGGTGAGACATCTTTTTTTAAAGAGCTCGAGTTCAGCTGATAAGCTTCTTTGAGTAGTTTTCAATAAGCTCGTTGAAAGTTTTATTTCAGCTAGCTTATCAGATTACCAAACACTTTTATCTAAGCTATCTTTTCATCTATAAATCATATGCTACAAGTTATAAGCTCAAAAATTATTTATAAGTTGTCAGCTATTAGTTAATTTATCAACTAAATAATAGACTTGCTTCAAGTACATGTACCGTCAATCTTTGTCGTGTCTTACCATCCCCTCACCACTTGCATCTCAAGACGGAATGTATTATCAATTTTGGGTCAAATTGGTGATTGAGTACAATCAAAGGGCTATACAAGTAATTTAAAAAACTTGACTACTTTATGATTTTGTTTTGTTTTTTCCGTTGTTTTCTGGTTCAAAGATTAATGCATGATAAACTAAATCCAACGAGATAGAAATGAAAAAAAAAAATTAAAAATGGCCCACTAAATGAATGATGATTAAGAATAATAAATAGTAGCTAGAATACAATATTTGAGGTCTGGCAGGGCTTTCGTTGCCATGGATTCTAGTGCAATTGTTTTATTGTTATTTATAAATTGACACCATAAGTATGATATATTTACTTATTTTACATATCTGGATTTTTGGGAGTAAGTGGCTATATAGTATGCCAAGGTATACTTTGGCCTTTGGGACATCGTTTGTTTGTCCATTTATGCTGCAACATTTTACCCATGATAGTATAAACTTCACGCGCTTGTCCCTTTGATCCAAGTAGCACACTATCTTAGCCCCTCGTGTTCCCTTTTAAGTCAGCTTCACCGTACTTCATAATCGTGCTCGGTATGTGCAAAGCTCGTCGGCGGAGAGAAAGATAGTAGAGAGATGCGGGAAAAGATCTATTATTATTCAATTAAACTCACAATACAAGAGATATGGAGAGTCACCTCTCTAAGATACAACATATCTTGATGTTTCATTCATTGTAGCTCGCTTGAAGCGATGAAACTTCGACGAATTTGAATGGAGTTAAAAGTAATAATCGAGACTTATGTACGTATATGTGAGGCTACGAGTGCAGTATGATTTATAAGAAAGAGTTTACCAGTCACTTTAAAGCATAAATAATAAGCATAAAACATTTATGTAGTAATCAAGTAGTTAATAGAGATGATTCGGGTGTTAATACACCTGGTGACACCTGATAGTTGCGTAGTAATCTCGCAAAACATTTAGAAATGGTAACTAGGCTAAAAGGTCTTACAGAGTTGGGTTTAAACCCAATTCAATTTGATTTTTATCATGGCAAAAAATAAGAAAATAAATTTGCAAAAAAAAAATAAATTATAAGGGCTGCACCCATGAATTCAAAAATTATTGTGCCGAGCATGACATCAGACATGAGAAGACTGTACCTGGAACCCCACAACATAATGGTGTGGCTGAAAGAATCAACAAAACCATTATGGAGAAAGTGAGGTGTATGTTAAGAATGACTAAACTACCTAAGCCATTCTGGGGTGAAGCTGTTCTAACGGCGTGCTACCTGATCAACTGATCTCCATCTGTTCCTTTGGGCTTTGATATCCCTGAGAGAGTATGGTCTGGACATCATGTTAAATACTCTCATCTAAAGGTGTTTGGATGCAAAGCTTTTGCTCACGTTAGCAAGAAACAGAGACGAAAACTTGATGATAAAGTCATTCCTTGTATATTTATGGGCTATGGAGATGAGGAATTTGGCTACAGGTTATGGGATCCAGAAAATCGAAAAATTATCAGAAGCAGAGATGTAGTGTTTCATGAGCAAGAAACTATGTCTGATTCTGCTTTACCAGAAATCAGAGAACCAAGTGGAAAGGTGGATCTTTCACCTATCAAACCTCCTGGAGATGCCACAGCGGGGGGAGAGTGTGATGGGGAACTCAGGGTTGATGATGAGCCAACAATAGAAGATGGTGATGGTGAAGGTGTCGAGCAAGAAGACCTCGAAGTTCCGCCTCAGCTCAGGAGATCAAATCGAGCGATCCAACCGTCTACGAGATACCCTAGTTCCACGTATATTACCATCACTGAAGAAGGGGAGCCAGAAAGCTTTGAAGAAGTACAAACTCATAAGGATAAATCCCAGTGGATGAAAGCCATGCAAGAAGAAATGGATTCACTTGATGAAAAATAAAACTTATGAGCTTGTGAAGCTTCCAGAAGGCAGAAAAGCCTTGAAGAATAAATGGGTGTTCAAGCTTAAGAAAGATGGTGACAAGCTGTTGAAGTACAAGGCTCGCTTAGTCGTGAAAGGATTTGGACAAAAGCGAGGAATAGATTTTGATGAGATATTCTCTCCAGTTGTGAAGATGAGCTCTATTTGAGTAGTACTCGGATTGGTGGCTAGCTTGAATCTGGAGCTTGAACAACTAGATGTGAAGACTGCATTTCTTCATGGAGTCATAGATGAAGAAATCTACATGGGGCAACCAGAAGGATTTGAGAAGACTGGAAAGGAGCACATGGTCTGCAGATTGAAGAAGAGCCTGTATGGACTGAAACAAGCTCCTAGACAGTAGTATAAGAAATTTGACTCGTTTATGGCGAGCCATGGATATACCAAGACTGATGCAGATCATTGTGTGTTCGTTAAGAAATTTCCAGGTGATAAAATCATTATTCTTCTGTTATATGTAGATGATATGTTAATAATGGGACAGGATATGAAGTTGATTGGTGATCTGAAGAAGGATTTAGCAAAGTCCTTTGAAATGAAGGATTTGGGCACTGCGAAACAAATTTTGGACATGCAGATCATGCGAGACCGAAAATTCAAGAGGTTATGGTTATCGCAAGAACGGTATGTGAATCGAATTCTGGAGAGATTCAACATGAAATCGGCTAAGCCGGTCAATACACCGTTGGCCAATCACTTCAAACTCAGCAAACAAAGTTGTCCTACGAGTCAAGAAGAAAAAAAAGCTATGGCAGGTGTTCCATACTCCTCAGCAGTCAGGAGTTTGATGTATGTCATGGTCTGTACTAGACCAGATATCGCTCACGCGGTTGAAATTGTTAGCAGGTATCTTTCCAATCCTGGAACGGATCATTGGGAAGCTGTGAAGTGGATCTTGAGGTACCTAAAAGGCAGTGCAAATAAGTCCTTGAGCTTCGGCAAAGGAAACCCAATTCTTGAAGGTTATACAGATGCATATATGGCATGTGACCTAGACGGTAGAAAATCTACTTCAGGGTTTGTGTTTACATTTGCAGGAGGAGCTGTATCTTGGCAATCTAAATAGTAAAAATCAGTTGCTTTGTCGACTACTGAAGCAGAGTATATTGCAATGACAGAAGCAGGCAAAGAAATGCTTTGGTTGAAGAGGTTTCTTCAACAATGAAGCAGGAAAGTTACAATATCCATTGTGATAGTCATAGCGCATTGGATTTAAGTAAAAATGCAATGTACCACTCTTGCACGAAGCACATTGATATCAGATATCATTGGCTACGTCAAGCAGTGGAAGAACAACAGTTCAAGTTAGAAAAGATTCACACTGACGAAAATCCTGATGACATGATGACGAAAGTTGTAACAGGGGGAAAGCTTTAGCTTTGTGCCGAGTTGATCGGCATTGAATGCATGTGAAGAATTGCAGAATGTATCCCTTTGGCTGGAGGGGGAGAATTGTCACATCCGGCCAAATTAAGCCAACCCATGTGCACAATCAAACAAACAAAAGTTGGCACCAAATTTAAACGAAAATATTAAATCTTGGTTAGTGTGCCAAATTATTAGTGGTTGGACAATTTTTTGGTTGTGCAGGTTACCAAAAACGTTGACGAAGTGGAGCATTTTCTCCCTATAAATAGGGGGTTTCAGCAGATGAAAGATGCACCGAGAAGAAGAAAGAAAAAGGGAGCAGAAACAACATCAGTTTCTGGAGTGAGTGTTATTTTTCAGTGAGATAAAAATAGAGTGTTTGAATAAATCCTGTGAGTGTGGGAAAAATACACCGGGTTGGGTATCAACTCTATTACTTCTTGTTTAAGAGTGGGGTCTCACTGGGTCACTATATTTTACATTTCTAGTGTAAGGGAGTGTGAAAAGATATTGTAATTATCTTGAAAATATAGTAGAATTATTCAGAGGTTGTCCCGTGGTTTTTTCTTCTATTTGGAGGTTTTTCCACGTTAAATCTTGGTGTCTTATTTCTTGCATATTTTATTAATTCGGGATATTCTTAGTATGCTCTGTGGTTGCAGTTTAATCTGATCTTCCACATCAGAAAAGAATTATTCTGGTATTATTTCAAGAGATTTTCTTTTGTCATTCTTGAGTTGCTGAGATTAGGATTATTGTTCACCATTTTACCTTGATATTTTAATTTACATCTTCCGCATTGCGCATCTGAGCCCAACAATGAGGTCAACCACCTCCTAAACCATCTAGCTAAGAGCGTCCAAATTCAATC